AGCAAATGCTTTATAGGCAATATGTAGATGCAATTCACTCGTTCTTTCGTTGTGGGTAAAGATTGATCGAGTTGCCATTTCTCTTTCAACCCACTTTATAAAATAAATCTTTTATCACAGTCAGCTCTTCTTCCTCCATTTTACTCCCTAATCATAGCGAGTTATTGAAGATACATGCATGCACCTACTTAAAGTTAAATAGCAGCAACAAGACTGAAAATAACAATACTACTATGGCTTGGCAAAAAAAAGAATCCAAGTTGCATTTTAAGTAGGGATGAACGCTGGAAAATCAACGAATCGAACAAATTTTCGTCCCAAAGAAAATTATGCAATTTTTTCACAATTCAGACACGTTGTTGTGTATGTGAACATTTTTTAAAGGTGATTATTGGTTGAAGTATACCGGTTCATGCACCTTGCTCGAAAAAACAATATTCCTATGGTCCCATCACCAAACAAGTTGCCAGGAATTTCCCTATCTCTCATCAAATGCTCTACTAGGCAGACAGTGAAATCAATCACTGGGACACAGAATTTGACACTTCGCAACACCTAGCTAGTATGCATTTCTTACATTTTGTGGCTAACAAAAACTCTCTCTCTATTATAATTTGTAATTTACAGATGTTCTCTCCCAAAATTATGAAATTCATGCACACAAAAAAGATTAACAAATTAAGTTCTAGTAATTAATAAGTAAACAACAGATCTGGTTAGTGAACACTCTTTGTTGTGGAAAAAATATTAAAGAAAGTGGTTAAAGCTCTAATAATATTGTTATGGCGGCGTGACTTTGAAAGAAATACTGGCTGAACATTAATGACCCCCACAACCACAAGCAAGTTGTGAGTATTGCATAGACAAGTTGCTGCTGTGGACGGTTGAACAGAAAATTCAAATAATTCCTGTAGTGGCCCAAAAGTGACTGCACCATTATTCTGACACTATATATCTATTTCATAAGATAAGGAAAAAAATCCGAATATATATATATATATATATAGCTTGATTGTTAGTTGTGGCGCCGGCGCCGGACGGACGGACGGCAATATTGAATCTGGTGAGACTGGTCACAAAAACTTGAGCATGCAACACTCGGTCATTAGTGAGGGCTTGATAAAGAAATGATGACAGCCCAACAAACAAAAGGAAAAAAAGAGAGAGAGAGTTTTTATTGTAATGTAAGTGGCTAAGTACGATGAATCGTTAGGCACCAAAGATAAGGAGGTGCATGGCTCACAACTTTGTCAATACACAAATGACTAATTTGACTGGTCCAGAGATGTATCAAGGACCACTTTTACAATATTTGATAGCCACGTGGCCTTCTCACGTGGACATTTTCTTTCGTTTTTTTTTTTTTTTTTTGCCATAAAGAAGAACGAGGACCAATTTACTGAAAATGAAGTCTCAAATTAAGAGCCAGAGGGAGTGAGGCACTGCCACGAGCTAAACAAAAAATCTTGAGTGAACATGGCCAGTGACAACAGTAGAGATTATTTCAAAAAAATAAGAATAAATTATAAATTAGTCCATTTCGTTTAGAAAAATAAATAAATTATTTTATTTTTTAAAAAATAATTATTTAGTCTCTCATGTTTAATTCCATCAATAACTTGATTTTTTTATCAATTTTTTATTAGATTGATGATTTTTATTTCTAAATTGTCATTCTTTTTATTTTTTATTGGAAAAACAAAAAAGGTAAAGGAGAAAAATAAAACATTAAAGAATGAATTTTTTTTTAGAAAATCACTAATTTAATACAAAAACTTATGAAATATTTGTTCTTAAGTTTTTAAAACGAAAAAGGCTAATTAATTTGTTCTTAAAAACTAGAGGGACTAATTTATAATTTACTCTAAAAAATACTGCTAAGGTTTGAATAAACGAGCAGCAAAATTTTAGTCGAAACAAGTTTTATGATGTAATGATAACGGCTTTTATATCGGAGCCAGGGGCGGGGCATGAATACAATTCTTTGCACAGTCAAGTTAGGATATCTTAGAACTTAAGGGAAACAAAAAATTAATAAGGTATCACAATGAAAAGTAGATAAAATTAGGGACTAATAATGTTGCTTATATTTGATAAGTATGAGATGTGGCCCCCTTCAAAGCTACACTACGTGCCGCCCATGATGGCGACTGTAAGTCAGTAACAGCTGCCATTACATTTTAAGACATTTATTTATTTTTATTTTCTTAGTAAATTATTTTTTCATTTACGTTATATATCAACGGTTAATAGTTGCGGTTCATTGCTTGAAGACTATACCTTCGCAGGGATATCAAAAGTTTAATATTTTGTTATGATGTCGATGTTGACTTTTATCCAAACAGAGAAAGTGATGATGGAGAGAGACTGATAATTGTTTTCCTCCTGTTTTTTTTTTTTTCAGTTTAATGACTAAAATTACATTTGTTCTATCACAATTTCATAATTTTATATTTTTATTATCAATTTATATAATTTAAGTTTTAAAATATTAGTTTTTGAATAAATTAAAACGTTTTTTTTTTGTTATTTATAATGGTTAATTCAGTTAATTATTTTTTTATTAATTATTTTTTTAATGTTAATTTAAAAAATGTTTAAAAATATTTTTTTCAATTTTTAAGAGAGTCTAACTTTCAAAGAAAATTAACATGAACAAAACATAAACAATTTACACTTGAAAAACATGAACCATGAGAAATGCTATTATTTCGAGCAATTAACAATGGAGAGAGACTGGTAATTGTTTTCCCCATTCAAAATTTTTTTTTCTGATTAATTATTAAAATTGCCTTCATACCATTACAATTTAACAATTTTAAATTTTTATTATCAATTTATATAATTTTAACCTCAAAATATAAGTTTTTGAATAAATCTTATTTAAAATATATTTTATTCATTATTTATAATGATCAATCCAATTGATGGTTAATTTTTTTAAAAAAAGATTAAAATATTTTTTTATTTTTTAAGAGAGTCCAATTTTCAATGAAAATTAGCATGAACAAAACATAAACAATTTACCCTTAAAAAATGTGAACCATGAGAAATGCTATTATTTCTAGGTATCTACGTAAAAAAAGAGAAAGGACAAAAAGAGAACGAGGACAAAATTAAGAAGGAAAAAGGAATTAATATTAATTATAGATTGCTGCCCACTTGCCAAAATTAGTTAACACCCAGGATCGATTTAAGCACAATAATTAATTTATATATCCTCTTCATCAGATCGGGTTCGTCGAAGCTTGTCTACAGGTGGCATATCCCTCGTCCAAGTCCCTTTGAAAATTAAGGGTGTGTCTCTATCACACTGTAGCAACCCTTTCTTTTTGGAGGACTTTCAAAATTCAACTATTTCCAGCAAAAGTTTCTCGTCTTGTTAAAGACCTTGAACGGTTTCAAGTAATCTCACAAGAGGGGGTCTGTATCTAGACCACGTTACTGTCAAACAGCTTCAGCTGCGCCTGTGCTGCATATTTTATCTGTACTAGATTTCATGTCCCCTTTAAATTTCCTGTCTTTTCAAATGAAGTTCGTCACAAGAAATCCTGACTTTCTTACTTTCATGGGCACATCATTTCATCGTAAGTGATAACCATTAAAGGTGGAGGTTTGCCTAAGATTACCAATTGATTTTAAATACGTCAAGTCCAATTCACATGAATCCTCTTCTTTTTTTCCTTTTTTTTTTTTTTTTAATTGTAGCAAACTCTTAGAAGCAAATGACCTGGCTACCATTTTTGTTTCTCTCTGAAGTAATCCTGGCTAAGAACTCTTCTTTTTTCCCCTCGTTTTTCATGGACAGGGCACAATCCATGTGACACCACCAAACATCAGAAAAGGGTTCGTGAAGCACAACAGTGTATAGTAATTTAGATACCATTAATACACGTACACATGCATGTAACACCTGCTGCTTGGGAGGGGGGTCAGTATAAAATCATTATAAACGCTTGGTCAGAATTTTGAATCAACAACTCTCGACTGAAATTTTAATTACCCATACCCTTTTTCCTCAACTTCAAGGTTTTCCAATTTTATGCTTGAAGAAATACAAAATTCAGTAATTTTTGTACTAAAAAATGCTATAAAACTTTAGAAAGATTTAGCGTTGGTCACGACTTTACAATTCCTCATTACGAAACAGTAAAATCCAATAAATTAAATATTTAAGTATAAAATAAAGTAATTATATCTGGTTATAAAAAAAAATTGGACAAAGAGACAACCAATTCATCATTTGTGGCGTGATTGATGGATCTTTCAATATAAAATATGTTGAGTTGGCAAACAGAAATGATGCAAAAAAAAAAAAAAAAAACCAATAAGACTTTGAACTTCATCTTATATATTTTGGGGAGAGAGACAACCTTAATTAGTACCAGAAAACCACTGAAAACTAAAAGATTTGTAAAGCAGTAAAAAACATTCAACTGTCAACTAATACTAAGCCAAACTGTCCAAACCATCCAATAAAAAGGAAAAGCTTCCACTTCGTGTTGAAAAAATGGTGCCACGTGGAAAAAATAAAATTAGAAATGCCAACAAGATCTTGTGACATCAGCAAGGTGATGATGGAAATTACAATTGCGGGACCAACCACGCCGCCGTACGTCACTAAACTCACGTGCCTAAAAAAATCTTAAACCTTCCGAATGCGGTCCTCCTCTAATAACAAGAACAAGAACACAATCTCAAAATCTAGTGCTGCCTTCCTAGCTTCTTACCATTAAATTAAATACTTGCCCTAATCCTTAGGACATCCCCTCTTATCAATAACTCTCATTATCTTGTGGTGCTTATTTTATCATTTTACTTATTTAAATCTTTCCCATTTTTTAAAAAAATCAATTTCTCGTTCAAAATCATCCCCTCTTTTGCTGGTATATAAAGGGTTAGTTAGTTGATCAAATTTTGTAAAGACAACAACATAGTTGCCACTTAGGAACAAGTATAACCAAACCCAAAGTCATAAACCAAGAATTCAGAAATCCCAGATGGAATCTTCTTTCTTTTACCATGATCAATACCTAAATTCAGACTTCTCCCCTGAATCTTCTTTTGGTTCTTTAGATTCGTTTTCATGGGATGATCTTCTTTTCCATAACAATTCACTTCCTTTTAACACTAATGACTCAGAGGAAATGGCCCTTTTAAATGTTTTAGCCGATGGAGCGCCCAAGGAATCCTCGGAATCTAATTCCTCTAGTGGAATCAAGGAAGAGGAAGTGACTTCGAATGCGAAAGAAGAGGAGGGGCCTAAGAAAGAGAAATCCTACAGGGGGGTTAGAAGGCGGCCATGGGGGAAGTATGCTGCAGAGATTAGGGATTCGACAAGAAATGGCGTCAGGGTTTGGCTAGGGACCTTTGATAGTGCAGAGGCAGCTGCTTTGGCTTATGATCAAGCAGCATTTTCGATGCGGGGTGCGATGGCTGTTCTCAATTTTCCTGTGGAGATGGTGAGAGAGTCGCTTGATGACATGAAGTATAAATGTGAAGATGGGTGTTCGCCTGTGGTGGCACTTAAGAGAAGACACTCCATGAGAAGAAAATCGGTGAGTAAGAAAAGTAAAGTGAATCAAGTTGCTAATTATACTAGGCCACAAAATGTGGTGGTATTGGAGGATTTAGGAGCTGACTATCTGGAAGAACTTCTGAATTCATGTGAAAGTTCCAATTCTTGGTGAATTCAGACTGTTAGCATCTCCTTAATTCCTTTATTTGTCAATTATTTTCTTCTTTTCAGACCTTTGATTTTGTTTTTTCTTGCCTAAGTTTAGAAGAGGCTTCCTGGCATGAGTTTTTTTTTTCCCCCCTTGTGTATCCTGATTTTTACACTCTGTAAAGTTTATCTTCCCTTTATTAGAAGACACATAGAGTTCTGGACTGCATAGTGGACATGATGCTCCTCTTTCTTAATCTACTTTATTTCTATTGGAAGCAAGATTCTCTGTTTAAAGATTAAAGTGGAAACCGATGGAATGTTAAAAAAATCAAAAACCACAATTGCTTTATCTTCTCTCCCTCAATTATTGTAGTTTGATGGCCAGCAAACGAACCAACAAAATTACTCCAAATAAAGTAAGTTTTATATAAAAATCCCATTCCTTTTGTGACTAACATGTTTTTTTTTAAAAAAAAAGATTTAAGCTACATGTGGCATTCAAATAACCATTTTATCTAAACTGCACATCAAGTTTTCTCACTGTTACTGGTTAGTGTGGCATCCATATGTCAATATCAAAGATCTGATATTATATGCTGATCACTAAAGTAAACCTACATAACTGTTTTTTATTTATTTTTTATTTTATTATATATTTTCTTTTATTCGATATTCTGCACCATTTTTCATGTAATTTTGTACGTTAATTAAAATTAATTTGTTCTTCATATCATCTTAAAAATATATTATGCACATCGGTATGGTATTTTAAATTTTTTTTTTAATAAATTCTATTCTTATGATCTTAAGATTTAAATTTAAAAAATCAAGGAAAAAAAAAAAGCAAACCTAATTAATCATCATGATAATCTATTAGAATTACAGATTTTCTTTTTTCCCATCGTTTACTTCCAGCTGGTCTGAATGAAAACATTGTGGCCTGCAAAGGCCCGGTTTTGGTGGCAAGTTAATAAAGAAATATTGTATCTCGTACATAAGCTAGTCTGCTTTTGTGTTGCTCTCGTTGTTTTGCCCCACCACCTTTGGACAGAACGGTGCTTGTCTCCTTCATATAATCTTGTTGCTAAACTTTGATTGAGGGAGTGGTTATGCATGCCATATATATATGTTCGTCACAATTTTAAACGAAAAACACAATAATCTCCAACGAATTAATTACTGTTGCCTTTTTTAGTTAGTAAATTTGAAAAAGAAAATATCTAGTGAAATGCGTTATATAATCCTTAATTTCATACAAAAATTTTATAAATTACAATACATTTTTTAGTGAAAAAAAAATTAATACATACGAAAAGGTTTTTCTCTCCAATCTGACCTTCACGTTTTATTTAATTTTAGACTGCATTTTAATTCTGCTGGAGAAAATAGTTGCTTTTTTTTCTTTTCCTAATAAAACTAGAGTCACTGTATTGAATTGGAGAGCAGAAACTGCAAATAGGAAACAAACATAGCTGAGCTTAAGAATGGCCAGGAAAGATGGAAGCCCAACAGAATTTTAAGCTTTGACATGGACGACAAATGAACCAAAACAAAGATGATATAATCAGTGGGTCACCAGACCATGAAATATGCACTATCGGTGGACCATGAATTGATCGTAAGTAAAGAACTGGCACCAAAGCTGAATAGCAGTCTTCCAGCTTGAAGTAATAGCAGAAAATTCAGATGTAGCATTAATAGGCCAAAGTAGTAATAGCAGCTGCAAAGTGTTGTGATCGGCAATAGGAATTTCAAAGTCGAAAATTTTGCCCATTATTAAGTCACATTGAAATTTGGATAATCCAATATTTGAATGTTCCTCTTATATTTGAGAATATTAGGATAACAGTTAATAATCCTAATTAATTATAGTTCATTTGACTTTAATATTCAAAATATCTCGAGTTCGAATCTTTGAATTTAAAAAAAAAAAAAATCCACTACCATTTTTAACTGCTTCAAGGAAAGCTTAACGCCAAAAAATGTGTATGACAAGACCCAGATTGAAGTGATTGTGGCAAGGCTACGCCCAAGTACGCTTACAACAGTAAGGCCCAAAGTTTCCCACATTAACTTGCCCAAGTTGCTTGATTTCTTACCAGCTCGTCACTCGGAAATTACTCAGACACTACGCACAAAACTAAGCCTTTTCTGACACAAACACGACGCATCAAGTGAGTAATAAACCAACTTCCGACGCACAAAAAAAAAAAAAAAAAATCCTTCACAAGTGCATCTCTTAAAAGGTTACGTCACAAGCCGACATAGTGGCCTACCTTTGTGCATCACAAGTTTTATACTGACACGCACTAGACTCGTCACAAGCTCATCATGATACAGCGACGCATTCATGCTCGCCGGCTCAAAGTCCATAGTTATAATAATACTGTGACGCATCTAGTGGGCACAAAACCCAAAATTTAATAGCCTTTCCTAGTTTTTTTACCCAATCAAATAAAATATATAAAATTATTTTATTTTAATTTTTATTTTATATTATACATATATCAAAAAATATCAAATCAAAATTAAATAATCTTTTTTAATTTTATAAGTTTTTAATCAAAATTTTGTATTAACTTATTATTCTTTATGTTTTTCATAAATTTTTGATTAAAAAACATTATTTATTTATCTCTATCCAGAAACTAAAAAATTTATAATGATATAAAAAATATCAAAATCAATGCATTCTTAGCTAAAAAGTTATTTTGTAAATTAATTTTTATAAACATTTTTTTGCCTTAAAATTTTTAATTAAAAAAACAAAGAAAAAAAATCAAAGTGATCAAAATAAAATAAAATAAAAGAGATCAAAATGAAACTAAAAAATACTTATGGACTATAAAAACAATGTTTTAAAAAAAGAAGATTAAAAGTGTAATGTTACGAAAAATTTTGTAATAAATATTTTTAAAATGTTTGAAAACTATAAAAATACCACTCGTATAATAGTGCATCCGAGTTTTATTGTACATTATAAATGAGTCCGGATGAACAATATTTCAAATAATAAAGTAAATGACAACGGATAATTTTATTTTAGTTTTTTTGTTAATAATTTATTATGATGATCCAATTTTAAATTCTATTTTATCACCAAAAAAAAAAAAAAAAAAACCCCTAGAGTTATGGCATTGGAATGAATTAAGCTCACCAAATCCATCAAACAAAATTGAATGAAACCAAGATTTTACAAAATAGTTTAGTTTATACTGTCACAAATGTTAGTATTGCAGACAAGGCACCATCAAACCATGTGATTTATACAAATAACTGCATCTATATTCGACAGCCTAAAAAATTTTATTCTGGCTTCAGCAAGACTGGTGATAATATCGAAGTCCACTGAAACGGCAATGATTTGTTTCCTCCTCAATGACTGGAAGCTTACCAGAACTGTTATTTTGGTCACCAACCTTTCGTATGTCCTTTACAACATGAAATTGAATCATATCTGCAAAGCACGCACATAAGCATCTTAAAGTCAAAATACTGCTTACCTTTAAGCCTTCTGCTGTACAATCTAAAACTGGCCAAACATTGTTCGGGGTGGAGAATCGCATGCTCCTATCCCAATGTGCCGATATCTTCAAATATTAGTATTTGAATTTGAGTACAGTAAAAAGCTTAGCTCAACCTAGTTGACACTCAATGAATATACATGCACTCAACAAAATAAATTTAATTAGCAAACAGTTAAAACTTACATGTACATTGTTTATGGTTGTTAATTTTAAATTTCAAACTCGTTCCAAACCCTAAAATTAGGATTTCAATGAACAAGTTCTATTTATGGTTTATGAATGTATAGTACTTTATATTGCTGTAGTTCTTTATATGTCCATCACCATGGTTTAATTAGCTCAGCCACTCTCGCCCAAATTGACAAATGACAGTTCTAGCAAATACTGTGAAAATAGAAAAAACACGTAGCAATATTAGAGCATTCAGTAGATTCCTCAGCACTCTAGGATTTCTATTAACATCGTGTAGCTCAGGCAAATTTTCAAATTGTGTGAGAAAATTTTAAAGACTTGGCTAATGGAATCAATCTTGTTTTCACCATAATATCTGAGAACACAGGGGTTTCACTTCGCAAGTCATACAATCTTAGCGACGACTGGGAGTGGGGAAGAGAACCTTAAGGCTTTGTTTTTATAGGTACTAAATATCCTTTATTTCTACTTCTAAATTCTCATTTACTGCTACGAAACATTCTGATGTACCCATAATTATCACTTTCCCCATCATTTTCCATCCTCAAAAGGAAGAACTGCAAGTTCTTCATGCCATACGAACTGAATGCGAGTTTGAAAACAAACACATAATTTAGTAAAGAACAGCAATTACTGAAGAAATCACAGAGAGAATAACCTAGTAGAACCAAATTAGCACGTAAATTACTAACTTGTATGTTATCCGTAGGCCAAGATATAGAGTTAAAATAACAAAACTTGCATCACTGACCTGCTGAATCAATACTATTTCAATAAGAACAAGATTGTGGAAGAAACTAACTTGGGCAACTGCTACGGTAAAATTGGGAGAGAACTTCAACTTCTCTGGCAAAGGTGGACAGAAGAATCTCATAGTAGTAGCAGAAGAACACTAAAAGCAGATGGAGCCCTGCCAAAAAGTATACAAATTATCATAACAATACCAACCCTAGCTAAGGAATAATTAAATTATCAATTCGATTTAAATTTCTTCCAGCTCCAATTTCTTCAAAATAAATTAGGAACACGAGAAAGAAAGAAGTGAATGGAATGAAATAGAAAACACCGATGACTTCGTCAAGCTCCGCGGCGGAGACAGCGGTGGACTCAGGAGGCAGGTCAAAGACACGAAACTAAATACGAAGATGGGGAATGATTATTTTACTTTAATGGTGAGATAGAAAGAACATGCTTGGATCTCGATTGGGGAGAGGTGGTTTTTTGTGGTGGCAATGGAAGTAGTGTGCGGCGGCGATAGGTTTGACCATACAGACAGAGGCCTTCTTCTTCTTGTTTTTTTTTTAGTTTTTTATTATAAAACTTAATTTTAATTTAAAAATTCATAATACAGATCATTTTATACAAAAAATATCTATGTAAAATCAATGGATTTCATTTTATTCTTGGTTGGTGAAAAATCTATAAAAACTTTTAATATGAACATGAAAAAAATTAAAGTTTTTTCAAAACATTCACATTTTATATTGAAGATAGAAATAATAGTGTTCAAAATAGAAATCGCAAGATTCAATTCTTTTATATTGATAAGAAATGTTTTTGGAGATTCACTCCCTTAGTACTCTGACCAATAAAATATTAGTTTATTTTTTATTATCTATTAATAATCACTTATTTATAAGTTTATCGATTTTTTGTAATTTTTCATTTTTTACAATTTAAGTAAAATATTTTTTTCATTAAAAAAAAGTGATCATTCTATATGAAAATATTATAAGTTTATCGATTTTTTGTAATTTTTTATTTTCTACAATTTAAGTAAAATATTTTTTTTCATTGAAAAAAGGTGATCGTTCTATATTAAAATATTATAAGAGATGGAGCGGTAAATTAAGAAGACTAAGTCTTGGATTTGAAGTCCTAGCTTGAGAGAAAATTTAGCACCTACAAGACAGTATGTTGCTAGTCTAAAAAAAAAAAAAATTCAAAGTTTGATAATTTTCACATTGTTGGCATCCATTATCACCGTCATTATTATTTTTGGTGAATGGCATCCATTATTGGCACCTTTTCTTCTCTCTATCTTTTTTAAGAAGAATCTAACGAAGCCTAGCTAGTTTGAAACATGCTCTGCCAGAAAAAAAGAAAAAATACAAACTAAACCTAGCTAGCTAATGACAATTAACTTGTAGAAAAACTGTATGATTGCAGAGAAATAATCCCATCCCCCACGTTCATCATTTGTCTCTTGCAGGTATGAGGGAATCTAAAGGGTATCTCGTACTCTTTTTCATTAATTATTCGTTTATTTATTTTTATTGAAATGGGTATCTCAACCCTACAACAAGGAATTGTCTTCTGATTAATGTTCCCCCCAGTGAGCTGTAGTGTCACCTGCAAATTGACAAATAAAATAAGAGAAAACACCTGCAAATTTACAAATAAAATAAGAGAAAACAGATGAGCCAGACTTCATCATCATTACGTATATATTACTTACTTGCTATTAGAACAAACAAAATCTAAGCACTGTATGTTGACTCTTTTCTGGTTCAGGATATCAACAGTGGCCCTACGTATTGCCTGTTTCTGGTAGCTTATCAATATTCTGCAGGACGTTTACTTGATACCTCTTGACTGCCCTAAAATAGATTAGATATTGTAGTACGACTACCTTTAATTTCTTTTCACTTAATATATTTAAGCCCTAATGGGTATCTGTGGAAGGGCATGCCTAATATTATAAAAGATGCTAGTAAGTGGGGCCCCTCCAGTGGTCCCTCCCCCTACTCATGTCTGTGGATTCCACATTGAATATCATGCTAGATTTAGAGTTCAGAAGTCCCTCGATCTCCTTAGACATCGGATCAAGTCATTTGCTAACACCGTTGTGTATGTCATGTCATTCTTCTTCTTATTTTCTCTGTATGAAGAATTTGGAATCGGCTTAGGGAATAGCCTTAACACTGCGTTAGGTTTGTCTATTATGTCGTTCACGAAATTCTCTCATGATCCATCCATTGATAAAGCACATGATGAGACTATAATTCCCACTGCTCGAGAAGTTTGAATCAAAAAAATTACCACAAGGAAATCTGAGTTTCCAAAGCCCAACATACAACTAAAAGTTAGTGTTTAACAATAAGTTATTGGTGTAACAGAGTTAGTTATCAAATAACTTTTTTGTCAACAAATTTAAATACTAAAGTCGTGCTTGTTAAAAAAAATTAAGTTTTACTGTTTTTGTTTCAAACATGATTAGTTCAATCGTCAGTGCGAAATAATGCGAAATAAAAATATTTAACGAAAACTTAAAAAAAAAATTATTGTGTTTTTCTTAGTTTTACTTAAACACACAAACACAAACATATGATTTATTATCTATATGTAATTTTTATAGATTTTAATCTCGATTCAAAATTGGACGCTGATATTGTTAAGCACCATGGTAGGTAAATAAACGCAATCGAATCAGCTCCGTTTGTTTCATCTAATATAACTTGTTTTGGAATATATTTTTACCCGAAAAATATGTTTTTATTATGTTGATGAAAATTACTTGAAAAAAATATTTGATGTTTAGTACGCAAGAAAAATCAATGTTAAAAAGGAAAATACAGGAATTAATTAGCTGTGGAGTTCACAATTTAATATCAAAGATGATAGAATGTTTTCATCTATTGAGGGTTCCATTATTTTGAACTTTTTTTTCTCGGACCTTATAGTATTTGCTACAAGAAAAATGAGGAAAATATTTTAGATGAAATAAATGTAGCCGTTTTAATATATCAGAAGACTATCTGTGAAGATTAGTTTGGCATTAGGCATGAAACTGCACGTTGTGCAGTTATATATATATATGGCTCAAAGGATTCATTAATTCAACTGCTAGACCAAGCTTGGCGAGGAAGCTGTACACGGAGTGGAGAAGGATAGTCGAAACCTGGTAACATCTTTTGAAAAGCAACCACTATGGAACATATTTCTAATTAATTGATTTAGAATTATTATTCAAACTTTCTTCGATGGCCTTGTTGCCAATCTTTTGTCCCAAGGACTGGAATGCAGTGTTATTGAATTAATTTGTAAGATCATAGTGATGTGGAGATTACCAGAAAAATATATATATATTTTTTTTTCCTAAATGCAAAATCGTGACCTTTTTAATTAAGATCTAATCGAAATGAATTTAGTATTAATATAAAAATATTGATTTGATAACGCTCTTAGATTTGAGAATTTAGAAAAAAAAATTAAGGTTATAGATTATCAACAAAAAAATTCTAAAAAAGTAGTATCGATTCGTTATATTGAATATTTAAACTATCTAATTCATTTTTTATAATAACCTCAACCATCTATTTTTCGTATATTTGTCTTCTGAAATTTTGAACGTCTTTACACAGCCCAGCGCAGCTTTTTAGCTTGTATTATAAAAGCTATGATGAGCAGGAAAGTACGTACAATCATTTGACAAGAAACAAAAGTATTCGACCAAAAAAAAAAAATCAAGAAACAAAAATAGTCAAGATCATTAGCAAAGGAATTGTCTATAACCAGTATGTGGGTCCACCATACAATTGCAAGAAAGCAAGTTCAAGCTGCCTGTGATTTTTCTATTCTTTTCTTTGCCCCCGGAAATGAACACCCACGCTCAATAGTTTAATCCTTCTCCTCATCATACAATGAAAAAAAAATCCCTTTATTTGGCAATAATTAATCTATGCTTGTTATGATCTTGTCATGTAATTTCTCCCTCTTCTCCGTGCATATGGGCTGACATGTAGATGATAGCAAACTAAGTCAGCCTAGCTAGAAGAAATTACAGTACAGTCTTGTAATTTCTCGATCCCTCTTCTCCGTGCGTATTTATATATCGGCAGATATTTAGATCATAGCAAACTCAGCCAGCCTAGCTAGAAGAAATTATAGCAGCTTGCATCTAGATGAAGGATGGATCATTCTTTCTTGAACCAGCCAAGTTTGGAATTCTCGCCATCATCATCTCCCTTCTTCTCTTTAGATCCATTGTGGGATGAGCAGCTTCTTTCTAACCCTGATGATTTCTCTCCATTCAACTCAAATGACTCTGAAGAGATCACACTTCCATCTAATGTTCCCTGCACCGAAGACAAAGCGTTTACAATTACTTCTCATTTTCCACCAAACAAAGCCAAAAACTTATCGAAACCTATTTCCTCGAATGAGATCAAGGAACTAGAAGCCACTCCCAGTGCTAAAGAAGAAAATCCCACAAGGAAAAAAACCTATAGAGGGGTCAGAAAGAGGCCGTGGGGAAAATATGCAGCAGAAATAAGAGATTCCACGAGAAATGGAGTGCGAGTTTGGCTAGGCACATTTGATACTGCTGAAGCAGCTGCTTTAGCTTATGACCAAGCTGCATTATCCTTACAGGGCACTAAGGCTGTCCTCAATTTTCCAGTTGAGCAAGTGAGCAAATCACTAAAAGAAATAAAGTGCGATTTTGAAGATCACTGTCGCTCCCCAGCCGAGGCGCTGAAGAAGACTCATTCCAAAAGAAAGGCAACCAGCGGTAAAAGGAAAGGGAAAGGGTTAGCTACCAAAGACGTGGTGGTGTTCGAGGATCTAGGAGCTGAATACTTGGAAGAACTTTTAAGCTCTTGTGAGAGAGGTATTCCTCTGTGAATCAACATCCCCGTCGGGATCTTATTACTGTTGTCTTTTGATTTCCGGTTTGATTTTGTACATTTTTCCGTTTTTGTCAGTCACGTTTTGGTTAGTAAGAAGAGAGAAAAAATAATAAAACAGACGAAGAAGAAGAAACTGAGAGGAAAAAAATTGCGAGAAACAACTGATTATTTTTTTTATTTTTTATTTTTGCATGAGTTTGCTTCTCAAAATAAATGTCAAAATAAAACTTAATTAGTTTTGCAGTACATATATATGTATATGCATTTTGCAAAATTATTTCTAATTAACAGGCAACTTAGATACGTAATTTCCTCCCAAATATTAGAAAAAGATATGATTTTTTTTTTTTTACGTTCTTATATTCTCAAGATTTCACAACCTACACACGCTAATGTTCTGTCACTGTAGTTTAAACACGGCATAGTACTACACCTTTTATTTATTATTTTTTTAGATTGCTTTCAGTTAAACCCTCATTCCCCCTTTTACTTTATAATAACAATAAAAATATTAGAATTGAGACTTGGTTGCAAGAAACTAATTCAAGAAAATCTTTTACAGAATTAATGAACAATGTTCTTCGTATATGTAATTCTTTCAATAACGACGAACAAAGTTCTATAACTCATCAACGTTCTTTGAAATTCCATAACTAATGTTTCCCAGAACAGTATTTTTTTCCCCCCAAATGAGGCACGACTAATCTTTTAACACTAGATCAATTAAGTCTATGTTCTTGTCAATTTAATTATTCTTTTAAAACAATATTAGTTCGTTGTAAGTATATAACGTTCTTTCGTACAATACTTATCATAAATAACCATTTAACTTGACCTTGCATAATTCAAAAAAAAAAATTACTGTGCACCAATGGTTTTTGTACTCTCCCCTCGTTCCCCATTTTGTCACAAGCCTAATTAAAGATACACCATCAATTGTCCTAGACCTACACACCTTGAAAAAACAAATCCATAATATTGATTAAAGAGCCGGAAATAAAAAAAGGAGTGTAATTTTTTTTACTTATATTAAAATTAATTTATAAATAAATATTTTTTTAGGATTAATTGTGCACTTAAAAATTAGGTTGAATTAACAATTCATATGCCTAATCAATCAAAAACTTCAATTATTAGGTGAAGGTGAAAAAAATATTTTCGTCATGTATATAACAACAGCAATAATATTCTGCTAGCTGCTTGCTATAGGATGGGATCTCAGCGTTGACGAGAAAAACTTCATGTTCTTCTGCCGCAACCAGCGTCTACAATGAGAAAATAATTACTATAAATAAAGCGATAACTAAAGTATAAAGTTTCCTCCAAACACTATGCAAAAAATGGTGGAGAGATTTGACAATAGATTTGTCATGAAATTTATTGGAAAAATTAGAGATCAGAAAGCATGAGATTTGACAACATATTTATTTATAAATTATATCCAAATCAGAGTGACAGATTTCCACCGTCCTGATGCTAAAAGTATAAATTAATCACTTGATGGTGATGTTCACTTTATACAAATGTGAAAGAATTATTGGTTTTTCTAAAAAAATTAAATTGCTAAGTGAAGCACGGAAGAAAACTTTGATTGGAGAAACAAAAACGCTAAACATTAAGAAAAATTCGAAAACATTATAAGTAATTGTATCATGATCTTAATGTGAGGCCTAATAGTTGATTCACTAATCCAATAATCTATGTGCAAACTTAAATTTTAAATTTTATATATATTTTTTAAAAAACATTTAGTATTATTCTTAAAAGAAATTATTAAAGGACAATCTCACCTAAAAGCTTAAGTCGATAGATAAGGCCTTACAATATAATTTATATTAGTCTCTAACACACCTCTTCAAGTGAAAGCCACAACATTTGAGCTTGAAACTTACACATGTCCTCATTGTCTTGTGCTTAATACTTGAGAAACTAAGGACTTCTTGGTCAACCAAGCTTCGATATCATATTAAAGGACTATCTCACCTAAAAGCTTAAGCCGATAAGTGAGGCCCTATAATATAATTTATGTTAGTCTCTAATCGAAATAAGACCTTAGGATGGTAAGAAACATCCCTTATAAAATGATCCACCTGTTCAATCATGTTTTTAAACTACAACGATATATTTCTAATGTATTTTAAAATAAAATTTGTTGACCATTTCTATTTTGATTCAACAATAATCCATTTAATATTGTTATTAGTTTTTTTTTTTGCCAATTCCAATCTCTAAAAATATTTATGAAATGTATTAATTAAAAATTTAGAGCTTATTAGCCGATTGCCTCCATTTCGCCGCAAGCAAGTTGTCAATTGATGCTAAAAACGATAAAAAATTTACACATGTTATTTTGAAATTTTAACGTATTAAAAGTCACGTGGTTTGTTGTTATAAATTAAATATATATATTTTTTTTACAATATTATGTTATTATTATTTTGGTTCATTGATATAGATTTATTTTGATACATATGAAAACATTTAATGTTTATTATTAACATACATGAACCTTGTTTGGAAAATAGATTCAATTTTTTAAGATTAACTAAGAATGTTGATTTTTTAGTCAATCGCTTACACAACTCTATCGATAACATAAAATAAAATAATTCTAATTTGATAGTTCATACTATGTCGCGGGTCTACTAAAACATATCGACCAAAGACTGAAAAAGAAAGCTAAATTTTTTAATCTTTTTAAACAAAATCTTGTATTTAAATAATTCTTCCTTATGTTTTATATAATTTTTTTACTTAAAAATACATTATTTGTTATTCTTTGTGTATTGATTCTTAAATAAAAATTTGTAACAATCTAAATTATAAATTTAATTTAGAATTCAAAAAAATTCTTTAAAAATATACTTTTTATAAGATTATATATAAATAAAGTTATAATTAATATATTAACTTGTAGGAAAATTAATAGATAATAATATTTTTTAAATTAAAATTTAAAAAATAAATTGAATAGAGTTACATAAAGATTTTAAATATATTTTTACATTTTAGAAGAAATTTTTTTAATATAATTAAATTAAAAAACCCTTAAGGAGTGGGCCCACGTGCTAGGCTCGTGAACGGAAAAAAAAAGAAGAAAAAGAAGACTCGTAATTTTTGGCAACTCGTTTTGCCAAAAAAGTTGTTGAAAAGTCGAGCTTGGAGTTTCTTACTTCTTCAAACCTAATTTTAGCTTTATTTTGTCTAAAACTCCGTAAAAGCACATAAATAACATCAAAAAACTCATTTAGACCTCAAAATCTATTTTAATACACAAAAATTCAAATTAAAGTTAAAAAAATTGAAGTATTTCTGCCTCCTAATCTATCTCCTCCCACCATTTCATAATTTATGACCACCACATACGAATTCTACTCTTTAAGATGAATAAAATGATGGTGATTTAGATGATCGAGCTAGCCGAACAAACCTCGTCGTCCCTCGCTTTCTATCCTCCCTTATTTCTATTTATTTCTCTCTCTTCGAAGCTGTAAAAAACCAAAATGAAGCATAAATGAAGTTCTAGATTGAAAAAAAAAGTTTATGAAAAAATGAGGGACCAAAATGTAAATTTTTTAACAAACTTAGTTTCAAATAATAAAATGCATAATGCAAATGCGTATGGGTGCATAGTGCGAATGAGTGTGAATAAAATGCACAGAGAAAACATACATGTTTTGTTTTAATTTTATTTATAATTTTCTTAATAAACAAAAATAAAAGCTTAGAGTCTATCTAACTTAAGGGATGGTTTAAGCCCATCTATTATAGATTAAAAAAAATGTAAAAGTTTAGAATTCTAGTTCCCTTAAAATTAATTTGTGGGTTGGCGATGGCGGGGATAAAGACTTTTTTTATAGTATAATTTCTTTGTGGATGATTGATTCAACTATCAATTAACTATACTACAAATTTTTTGGATATATAAGCGTATTAAATTTCTTTTATGTTTTGGTTAAAGAAATAGATTTTTGTTATAAAATAAATAAAAATAATAAGAGAATTGAAAGAAAGGATGACAAAAAAATAAACTCACTATAATGTGAATACAAGTATTAGAACTTCAAAGTTTCTCTTATTCTCTATAGAAAACTTGTACACCAACTAATGAACAATCAAGCCTATATATAGGCTTTAAATTTGAGAAGAGAATTAGAATGGACTATGAATAATCAATTGCATCACTCTTTCAATTTCTTATATTAAATGATGAATAGAATTATATTAAGAATTATGAGTAGTGGGGATATGAAAAGTAGATGAACATGATGATAGACATTCATTATTTTATAACACTCATCATTGAATGTCCATTGTATAAGGAGTATGCCTCATTAAAACCTTACTAGGAAAAACCTAGTGGGAAAAAATTATAGTAAAGAAAAAAGAGTACGAGTATTCCTTATACACATTAATTCCCATATTAAACTCCTCCGATTGAAAACATTATTTAAGATCTCTAAGACGATATATTTCAATCTTGTGAATCATCCTCTCAAAAGTTATGGTAGGTAATGCTTTAGCGAGTAAATCTACTGGATTGGCACTTTGACGTATTCTTCCTTCAATGAAATTATGCAAACAACATTATCCTTATATGATATTATTAGAACTTTTTTTGTCGATAGATAAACCGCATGTCCTTCGGATATGATGGATCATTTATCTTAGCTAAACACATTCTCGACTTGCATCGTGAATTGATATTTCTACATGATTTAAAGATGTGACAGCTATAACATACTTTATATAATGTCAAGATATAGCTACATCTCCACATATAAATATATAACCAGTTATGATCGAGCTTGGTGTGGATCGGATAAATAACTTACATCTACCATAACTAATTAATCTTGTCTTTGATTTATTAGAGTAATATAGTATATATTTAACTTTATTTTAATGTCTCCGTATTGAAATAAAACTATGACTTGCTAATAAATTTATAAAAAAAACTATATCAAGTCAAGTATTATTAGCAAGATATATCAA